TCCCGAGGTCACCATGCAGCCGGTTCTGGAACATATGCATGYGCTGAAAGAAAATGAAGGAAAGCCCAGACCCATCTTTGTTGAAGGCAAAGATTTGGGCTTATTTTGTATTTTCTCAAATGAGTCCCAAGTTTGATATGAGCTTCACTGTRTGCAAGGTTTGCAAACAGTTTGGGAACAYGACAAATGGGCTCACCTTATCAGTTTTGAATGAAAAATCGATTTTGAATTAAATCATGTCCCCAGAAACCAGAATCGAATTGAATCGTGAGATAATAAAAGATTCCCACCCCATATATAAACTAAGACAAATATGACAATAAATAAGACAAAATGTCACTTTATTGTCACACATTACAGCTTTTTAGCCTTGACTCGTTGTGTTTTGGTCTCAAATGCAACTCCTCACCATCATCATCATCCCTAAAATGCATTGCAGTAAAAAAATGCTGAGGTGTTTAGTTGAAAAAATATAATAAGCACATTTTTTAAGTAATTCTGAGTTTTCACCTCACAACTTTTAGTAGAATAAAAAAATAAGCATTAAGGCCAACATGTGCAAGCAGTCAGAGATCCTTGTAAAGGTAAATTTTAACATTTACATTAATTTGCCTGTCAAAGTCTTTCAGGCTTCATACGTTTTTACTCCTGAAGTCTCCTGCCCTACTAATGAGTTTTGTCTTTACTAAAATTATTTTGCAGACTCAGGCTGTCACTTTAGCTCTTCAAAAGTAATTCTAGTAATATTCTAGTAATAAAATACATAACACATTTTAAAAGCATTTTGAAACGTGAGTCAGATTTTCGACAGTCACCTGGACAATAAGCATGCACCTATCAGGCACTAAAAACTGTCAGTAAAAGGTGTTGAATAAGCTCGTTATAACATCTAAAAGGCATCACTTTAACAGTTGTCCAGCTGGGTGTTGAACTTCACCTGATGGAATTTTATTTGGCTTGAAGTTAACCAGATCCACCCTGAAGCCAAACAAACAGGGCTGCACCACTCAGGCAGTTTACAAGAAAGGCATTAGAGATGCAAGAGACCTATTTAGAGACTCCAACAGACTGAAAGGGTCCATCAAAACTGAAAACCACAAAAGGCTTCGGTTAAGCATCTGGCTTCAAAAGAAAAAGTCAGCAACAATAACACAGGAGGTTATTTTCTGTCATGTTACATAGATTGTGCTGAAACTTACCAAACAGGCATTTAGTCAACGTCTCTCTCTCTCTCTCTCTCTCTCTCTCTCTCTCTCTCTCTCTCTC